AACCGACAACCTTCGGAAACTTCAAGCTTCATCATCGTCATAGAATACCCCACCCATTCGCTCCCGAGCAGATATCGTCTGCAGTCTTCATATCCTGCAAGCCATCTAGCTTCACAAGGTTCATCGCAGCACTGGAATAATAATGCTTCCTGTTCCTTCAAGCTACTCTCTGCGCTATACAGTGTTCAGCACGGCTCTGAGCCTTACTGCTCGTCTCTGCCTCACGGCACTCTCGCAGATTGATGCCTTCTTCTCGACTCACCGCAGACTACAAGTCAATCTCCTGGCACTTGCACATTCGTCGGCAATGAGGCTGCACTATCGACCTCCGGTCTGAGCAGGGGGGTGATGTAGCGGCGCTGTCGTCGCGCCGCAAGTGAAACACACCGAAGCCTAAATCACGCTATCAGAATTCCGAATCATAAACAGTATATATAGAACATCTCCGAACTATCACACGGAGTGTTGGCCGCTCCCCGGGCAGAACACCTTGCCCGGCGGGAGATCTCCCCTTTTCCTTCCACGGCCACATATATTTATATTATTCTATGGTAAGACGTTAATATAAATTATTATAGTTTTTGCGTTATAGCATGGTGCGGATGACTACAGTTAGCCCTCTAACTGTGCGAAAAATGCGATTAACGATACACAAAGCAAAGTAAAAATTATCGATTAGCCATCGATATAAAAATTAAAACCGAAACATATTTCTTTATAAACTACAATGGATTTAAAATTGAATTAAAGTTTAATACAAATTATGACATAATAGTTACATAATAGCTGTTCCCGCGACCTCGCTAGCGTGTTGTTTATCACGATTGGATTTTGTAGATTTGAATTTTTTTCGCGCGGAATCCTAATTCATTTTCTAAAATAAAAGAAGCCTGTGTTACTCCTTATAACATCAGCTATTTGTTAGTGTCTACTATAAGCTGGAACAGACAGACAGACAAATTATTTTAAAAATTGTGTTTGTCTTTTGTTATAAATACAGTATCAATTTTCATATGCATTCAGTAAAAGGCTGATATTTGGAAATTACTAACAGACACTTTAATGTATAACTGTAAATATGTGGTTGAACGACGGGCCTAGGGGTTCCCGAGTTTTATTCCCAGGTCGGGCCTTGACCCTATTACGCGAGATGTTGCTAGGTGGATTGTGTACGCGGGCTTCTTATGCCTCAACAAGATGGCGGACGTGGCACGCGACAGCCTTGGACAACGCACTCGCTCTTCCAAATCTATTGCTTCGCCAAGGTCGAGAAGATGTTCTACTTGAGCCTGTAAAGAGAAAAAAATGGGGCAAGTCAGCTAACAAAACAAAAAGGCTCGAGTAGGAAACTGAGTAAAAGGAAACACACTTACCGGGGTGGGATCCTGATGCCGCGGGCGACGTTTCTGTTGTGGAGGTGCGTTGAAAGAGAGGGGTTGCACGACTATCACTCACACTACGTGAGGCGGTTTCTTCTGGGGCGGTTTCTTCTGCCCCAGGGATGCGATCCAAACTAGCGGTGCGAAGCAAGAGGGCGCTCGAAGGCTGCGTGCGATCCTTTATTGGGTCGACCTTCCCACCACCTCATCTCGGTGGGGCGCGCGTTTTATTGGTTAAAAGAATCGCGTCACCTTTTAGACCCCCCTCCCTTTTCACTGCGTACGGAAGGGATATGAGGGTACAGGAAGTACAGACACTTGGCGAGCAATATACCCTTGAACAAAATTATAAAAATAAACGAATCATTTCCGTGTAACCAATATGTATTAATTTGAAAATAAAAATCATCTTATATTTCATGTTAATTGCAACATTCATGTTAACATTTAAACAAATAAAATGGCTGCCAGCATCTGTAATTTTCAGTAGGTACGGTGTTGACTTCATCGGTAGCTTTTCAATGTACGCGTACTAGCGCCCTTCTCTATATGTGTATTAGTGTTGCCAGGTCCAAAGGGCTAAATATCGTGGCGGAAGGTAAAAATTATCGAGAATTTGTAATAAAAATACAAAATAGGTTCTTGTAGCCAAGTCTTTTTGACACATTTATAATTATTCTTTTTGCCTGAGCTGACCAATGAATAATTTATCGTCCATGTATTGGAAACATTGCATATTCCTTTATTTGCATTTTTTTGTTAACATCAAAATTTGTTGAACGATTAGTTACAATTTCAATAAATATTTACGTGATTTGTATATATTCGATATATTTCAAAATTGATTCTTGATAGTCTGTGGTTGTTCATTATAGCATGGTCATGGAGGTTAGAGAACAGGAAAACGATCGCGGTAGAAAACAGTGTCCCAGAAATATGGACAAAGTGCGCTAGTCTGAAATGATTATAATATCATTCAAAGAAAAAAAGAAAATATCGAAATTATTATTATTTATTAATAAATAAATTATAAATTATGTTTTTTTATAATTTTAATTATTATAAATTGTTAATTATTATCGGTTTATTATTATTTTTTTAATATTTCATCATTTTATGATGTTGCTTTTTGTCAATAATTAAAAAATTACTTCACAGATACCAGGTACTTACCGACGGCAGCGCGGCTATAAATTCTACAAGTTTTCAGGGACAGGCGGGCTATGCTTTAGCATGTAGCGATCGTTCTCCTGTTTTCTTACCTCCATGGGCATGGCAAAGTTTAGCGTGCCACACGTATACAGAGAAACCTATAGACTAGTGATTAGCGTAGCCTCGAGTGAGAAAGGACGATAACGTAGTTTTAGGTTATACAATAATCTTTATGACTTTTAAACATATTTAGATATCATTTTTAATTGTTCTAAGAACTGAACTGAACAAGATTCACCAATCTTAAGCTCACAAAACACTTTCTTTCTCACTTAAACCAACTTGTAAACTCCTTAGATCGCTACGAACAGTCAAAGTTATTTAGAAAAGTGTAGTTTGCTAAAGAAAAAAACCGGCACGGAGAAAGGGACAAATAATTACACCGCTCTGTCTCATTTCTATGCAAGACGTATGCATAAATCTATCTTTTATCTTCTTATCTTTTTCGTGTGCGAATGCGAAAAAAGGCATCAATTTGTCTATAAGTTTCTCTGTCTACGGTGCCGCATCACTCTCCTAAGTGGGCGGTACCCATCTATAAAGTACAACAATATTTGTATGACTGTTTATCTAAAAAAAACACAAAACTTCAAAGGCGTGAGCTATCATTCGGGCCATACTACAACGCAAAGACTATAGTTTAATAACCATTTGAAAATTTTTAATTTATGCCAGCGAGTTTCAAACAAATAATATTAGTAAAAAACTAATATACACACTTTACTTTTATTTTCTGTATTATTTCAGCAAACCCTTCCAGTACCAGTTTTAATACTCACGGGAATGCATAAAAAATAACTCATCCTCCATTTTTGGTAGTCCATCATAACGGATTTAAAATGTCGTCATTTATATAACAATGCATTGTCATCCGAACTAAACATGTATGCAAAATTGCTAACGTTTTTTTTTACATAATTACAGGTTAATATTACTAACTTTAATGAACACTGATATTTTGTCTATTATGAATTTTTAAAAGGACTTTTTGAAAAGATTTTGAAACAGAGATTGTATAGGATTATAAAATGTATTATAAAGAACGAAGTTAAAAGTTCATACAAACTTTGTAAGTCTTTTATTAGCCAAGCGCAATTTCAGAATATATTTTGCTATCCAATATCACTTTGTTTTATCTATACTATTCACTTAGAACGGCACTTTTTGTAATTGTAGCCATATTTAAACTCTGTATCAGCTTTCATTTCCAACTATAGTCTGTTTATGGTAGTAATCTCTTTCTTCACGACGTAAAACGTACTGCCCATATCAAAATCATCTAAATCATTTTTTTCCTTCGGTTCTTAGTTTTTCCCTACGTCACAATTTTAGAAGACGAAGCTGCTACTACATTAGCCTCTTGAGTTACTTGGGTGTCGGTGTCAGGTGACACCTAAAACAAAATGAAAACAACGCTTTTTAAGCACTATAACTGCATTGTATTAATGAATGACACGAGTCAAATTACCTGTCAAATATGCAACGCGGACTCAAACGCGCAGAGTTATCTTGCGCGCACTCTATGAGACAACCAACAACGACACTACAGACCATGAAGGTTAGAGAACAGGAGAACGATCACTACGTACTAAATTAAAGCATAGCCCACCTGTCCTTGAAAATTGTAGAATATATAGCGGCGCTGACGTCGGTGAGTATTGAATCCGAAGTTGGCTCTTTATGAGTACAAGTAGATGAAGTTAGTTGAATAATGTACAAATATTCATTTCATTTTTAATGAGAAAATTTTCATGCTCCGTAATTTTGTAATTTTTGACAAAAAGAAACATTACAAAATGGAGAAATATTTTATTGTGCGTGGATGTGCAAGTGGTTTAGCATCTGATCGGAAAAATAGACTGAAAATGACTTTTATTGACCGAACATAGTGATCCCAGCGCCTAACTTATGGTGTCCATATTTCTGGGCACTATTTTCTACGGCGATCGTTCTCCAGTTTTCTAACATTCATGCTACAGACAGAATAACAAAACGAAAGCAGTGACAACTGTGACATTACAATTCATACTTGACAGTGAGTTTGACACACCATAATTATATTTTAGATGATCGATGCGTTTAGGAATCCTGAATTGTTCAAAATTTTAAACCTTTAACACGAGATGATACATTTAGTTGATATTGCTTTCGCGGGTTCGCATTGTTCACAAGTTCTTATTAATCGATTATTGGTTCATTGACATCGATGTTTCGATATTTGACGTGTGGTAACATCGACTTTAAAACATCGATTCTTAACATCGATGATCATCGCATCCCTGACTATGATCTTGATGTTGTTCCTTGTGTCAAGCTGTCAAGTGTCAATCAATTGTGTTTATATTACAGCGCAGTTTTGTTCAATTTACGTATACGATTGGACCGATTTGAAATCGCAGTGATGACAAAATGTTTACGGTTCTAGGACGTCGGATTAGTTTTATATCATTTCTGTGTTTTATTAACTTTATTTCGTGCGCTGTTTCTATACACCAGTATGAAACGTCGGGAAAAGCATTATATGTGGCAGGAGAACCATTTCAGAGTTCTGGAAAATTAACTATAATAAATAAATTTAATGCAGAAGAACATGGTACACGTATCGAAAGGAAAAAACGCGATGCGTCGACGATCTTAACGACGCCGGCACCACAGAAAAACATAAGTACATGGGTAATGTTTTGTTTCCTTATTAACTATACACAATCGTTCCCCCCTTTTGTCATTTCAATTTTTATTATCGTCTGCCCGCACATTTCTGTGATTTATTTCGATTTAAACGCTCTTTTTGACGAACATGTTTATTTGCTTTGATCTATTTTTAATTCAAGATGATCATGCATTAAATGAAATTACGACACAAAGAAGCTCGTTTACAGTAACGCAAATAGTTTTTTTTGGTACATTTTTAAATTTATTTATAAAAAATTTTTTCGGGTTGGCTATAGACATCCGGTATTTGATTTTGATAATGTTTTTAGTTTAGGAGGCTTGTTAGGGTTAAACTTGAACCTATTATACTGTTTTTAGATGTCGGAAATGCGTTTTGAATTAATTACGATAAAAATAAATTTCACTAAAAATTGTGTAACGAAACGCAAATATGTCAATTTGTTCTCGTATTATAAAGTAGATGTCCAGTACTTGATATTTTAAGTTTGTTTTAATTTAGGAGGATTGTCAGGGTTAAGCTCGAACCATTTACACTGTTTTTGGATTTCGGAAATGTCTTGAATTAATTACGACAAAAATAAATTTCACTAAAAATTGCAATAATGAAATGCAAATATGTCCATTTGCTTTTTTAACACAGATACACTCATAAAAAAAGTTAATCACTCGGAGCCAAACAATCCATTTGTGGCTGGAGATGGGACTTATATACAATAAATTGAGTCACAGTGGTGAGCAGTCAAGAGGTTTTTCAGAAAACAAAATTATAACAATTCACATTACATTATTTCATTTACCACTATCATAGCAGAGTTTAGGGCAACTTTATAGATAAGATTGATCGAATCGGTTCTAAAACCGAATTAGCACATCCCGACTCCACATAGTCTTGTCTGCCCTACCCCTAGAGTGTTTTTGTAAAGCCGTAGGCACGGAGGGAGAGCAGCTCGCCTCTGCAGCTTCGGCTTATTGGTCGCCTTCGGCAAACAGCCTCAGCCGCTACGGCTCACTTAGGTGCCTGCGATTTGCTACAGCGGGCGGGGGCTGCACTTCCCTCAGTGCCGAAGTCGTTGCAGAAGTAACTTTGCGTCAATATTCCTGTATAAAAAAGTGAGGTTATGATTTTACAAAAAAAATTATTACTCATAAACTATACATTTCCGCAACGGGGAAGGGTAGGGGGGGACTTCCCATGACCCCTCCCTCCCCTCTCCCCCCTCCCAATACCGTACGGCCGTTGTAGAAGTAACTTTGTGTCAATATTCCTGTTTAAAAAGTGAGGTTATTATTTTACAAAAAAAAAATTATTACTCATAAACTATACATTTCCGCAATGGGGAAAGGGTAGGGGAAGCTTCTCATGACCCCTCCCCTCCCCCTCCCCTCCCCTTCCCCTCCTGTCCCCCTCCCCTCCCTCTATAGTTTAACCAATTTTTCGTCAAGCAAAATATTTTTGTAATGTCATTGCTTATACTCTTATAATTAGGTAGATAAAAAAATTCAACTTTTGTGATAAGAGACAAAGGACTTTATTGTTTGTTTTTGTTTTTATAGACAACAAAACTTAACGATGGTCATCAGCAATTGATGGTGCATTGGGTGGGTGAAGGATCAAAAGTCATAATTTGCTTGGCAAGAGACTCTAGTCCTAGGGGCAAAGAAACGCTATCACCATCAGCTCTTTTCATTTCTTATGACTATGGAAGAACTTTCGTTAATAGAACTGAAAGCTTTAGGTTGGATGATACCCCTGACAGTGGATATGCTCAACTTGATAAATTCTTCAACCACCCAAAACATCCGGAGTTTGTAAGTATTATAATATTATCATAATCTCTTCATATAAAATTCAATTGCTGTCCGTTAGTCTTCCTAAAACTCAAAAACAGTGCCAATAATTTTGATGAAATTTTTGGGTGCAATTGAGTAGGTGTCTTAGATTTACAATTGGATCAGCCAGATGGCGCTGTTGTCAAGATCCAAAAATCACCCATGCAAAGCCGGGGTGGATTGCTAGTATATAAATTAAAAATTCACATGTAATTGCGGTATAAAAGATAATAAATCCAATTTAATGTGAGCAAGTAGTGCAACCTTGACAAATTTACTAAGTCCAACTTTGCATAAAAGGTGTGTAACATACAGAAAACTAAAGAGCTGGCAAGCAGGATACTAATACTAAGTGTTAAAATGTATATAGTTCATGCAATTTTTGTTTTTTGTAATATTTGTGTGAACATTTTTCCACCAATTGAAATTGACCTATACCTATATAATTATAAAGAAACCTATAACGCCTGCCACACACTACATACGGTACTCTATTTTGAAATCCCAAAACGGAACAAACAGGTTGGCCACATACATACGGAATCCCGTTTTGCTCACAACATTCTGTACGGAAAACTACCGCAGGTGTGTGATGGGTCATTGATTTTGTATGGCGTTCGGAATCCTGAATCGCAATTCCGAAATGGAATCTCGAAATGGAATTCCGTATGTGGCGGGCCTAACAGAGGTGCAAGTGTTGTTTTTTTATTTAATGTTTATGATCGATGGTTTTAGTAATTTACCACTTTTCTTGGGTTTCCCGTTAGATTTTCCGGGACAGAGAGGTTGGCAACGGGAAAAAATTGTGTTTAACGGTTAACATATTTTTTAACGGGACAACAAAAATTTATGTTTTTTTAGATTTGTTTTCGAAATAAAAATAATTTGGAAATGGCAAAAATTAAATTATAATTTTATTAATTTTTTTTAGTTTAAAAATACGAAAAAATGTGCAATACATTCTTATCTTTAAAAAGTTGAGAGAGAAAATTTTCGTTTGACGTAATTGTTTTAAATACAGCTTGGAAAATGTTTTGTCGTTGGTCACCCAAAATGATGCGCTACTGTTGAATATCTAGAAAACTATCAACTTCTCTATTTATTTCATTCACTCTCTTTACTGTTTGAGTCGCATATCCTGTGGACCTGTGATGTCCTTGTCTATTAGATCATATGTACAATGTCTAACTCTAATCTACTTTTGTTATTATTGTCTCTCCTATTGAATTCTCAAAATAATTCTTTTGTTTGTAATACAGATGTTTGATCTGTAATAAAAGTTTTTGTTGAATACTCGCAATTGTTTTTATTAAAAATGGGAAAAAAATGCTAGAAATCCTCCTTATAAGCAAAAATTCCGTAATGAGTGGCTTTGAGATATTCTATGCAAGCATTGAATCGTGTGAAAAGGTGCTAGAATCAAATGTCAAATGGTACTAGAATGATTCAGTCACTAGAAATGAATGATTGACACTTTTCTACCATACTTGACAAGATTTGACGGAATTATAGTGTTCTCTACAATGGGAGCTAGATTTTAATGTTGGCAACACTGCTTTTCTTCTTCAAAATATTCACAAGTGGGTATTCTACTAGACAAGTGGTCTAACTAAAGCCATAATTGTAAAAGCCATTGTTATATATATATATATATATATATATATATATAATTGAATGAATTGATTGATGTCATGGATGCTGCTGATCATGTAGTCCCAAGTTTTGAGGCTGTTAGCCTAATGTCGAGAAAGTTGGCAGTGTTTCACACCTGTGCCTTGGAAAGCATGTAAAGCCGATCTGTGCCTGATCTGTCTTTAATTGTGTCAGATTGCCATCACATCATACTGTAAGAGTAAAGGAATAGAGAGTGCACCTGTGATTGTGCACATATTTGTGTACTATAATTGTGTCCTGTGTAGATAGCTAGTTTTCATAGACTAGCTGTTGGGACTGAAATTTGGTCCCGAAGACATATATTTTTAATTTAACCTTATGCTATCACTTTGTAAAGGATCATTTTGTAAAGAAATTGTAAATGTTTTTTCTTTTTTAAGTGTGTGTTTGTGGATTCAGCAAACAAACGTCTATATTATACTGATGACAATGGCCAAAATATACACAGATCAGATCTTAGTTTTCAACCCAGTGAGCTGGCTTTTGATGAGGAAAACCCCAAGAAATTTGTTGTTTTGGACAAAATTGGACCTAACAGAATGGTTTGTAACCATAATTAATTATTAATCATAATAATTACATTAGACAAAGTTTGAAGATTGCCTTTAACTATAGTCAGCTAAAAGTTGTAACCAGATATTTTTTTATAATTCAACCTTAATAACACTTGATAAATTAAATTAAATTTTAGTCATTGTGAGATTGAAAAGGGCATTAGAAGTAATTAGTGTGATATCTAAATTAATCATATTATGTCATAGCTACCTTTACCTAAATATGGTGTGTTGGAAAATATTAAAGATTAATTAAAATATTTAACATCATTCTTTTCCTTGCATATTTTGTTGCTTTTTAAAATTTTTCTCTCAATGTACTAATAATGTTTATTAAATGTATTATTATATTTTTTTAGCTCTACATGACCTTCAATGGAGGCAAGACATTCACGCTTATACAAAGCTATGTGAAAACTTTTTTCTGGTCATCAGGACCGGGATTTTCGAAAGTTTTTTATGTAGAGCGCTGGGAACCCAACGGTAGCAGTACAGTGCTTAGCGTCAATGATCCAGAGAATATGACAAATGCAGAAGTACTGTTCTCAGAGGCGAGAGAATTTCAGATTAAAGGAGATTATATGTTCGCCACGAAGAAAAAAGATGTAAGTAATATTTTTTTTTAAATGGACTATTTTTAACCAACTTCAAAAAAGAGGAGGTACTCAATTCAACTGTATGTATTCATTTATGTGTGTTACTTCAGATTTTTTTCTATGCGAACCAATTTTGATTATACTTTTTTTATTTGAAAGCTGGTGCTTCTCGTGTGGTCCTATATAATTTTGATCAAGATCTGACCAGTAGTTTTATGAGTTATCCTTAATATTTCGTATTTAATTGAATGAATGAGGAAAAAGTGACAAAGCAAATTTATATGGCATATGTGAACGGCAGAGTCGGGAAGGGACGCCCTAGAAGAAAGTTTATCGACCAAATTGGTGATATTTTGAAAATGGGCCACGTTAGAAGTACCCTTAACCGACGAGCATGTATGCGTAGATATATGGATGTAAAGGAGGCGAAAGAGGTATGTCAGGATCTTGCCAAGTGGAAGTCCGTAGTCTCTGCCTACCCCTCTGGGTGACAGGCGTGAGTGTTTATGTATGTATTAATTGGTTGCAAATACATTGATCATGATTTAATTTTATTAATATTGAAGTCTCTTGTACAACATGTTTAATTTTACCACTTGTAAAGCTGGCTATACATGTTGGCCGAGCGAAGGCGAGCACCAACGTAGACAGCCCATTTGTCCAGCCTCGCCATTGCTCGTCGACGCTCGCCTAGCTGGCCGAGTGCAGTCGAACGCAAACATGTATACGGTTCGTTTGGCGTGCCTTGCCGCCACTCGGGATCGCTCGCTAGACTCGTCCACTTCCGAACAGTGTCGGTTTTTCTGCACAAATCAAAGGCGCTTGCCTGCACTCGGCAAGTCGCGTCCACATGTACAGCTTTGCGTCTGTGCCGGTGAGATATTGATTTAATTAAGTTGCAACTTTAAAATAATTTCGACAATTTCACTATACTAACGAGGACATCTTTTAGTTTTTTAACTTTACTGCGGAGTACACTGACATAATAATTATATGCACTTATTAAATAAATAGCAGAAGCTGCAATAAATTTTACGTCGTCCATATCATACCGATTACCGATTCTCAATGACTACCAACTAATTACGGCCAACATGTAGACAGCTCCACAAAAACTCGTGAACACTGGCCTTGGAATTGTTCTCTTTCGAACTTGACCAACGTGTAGAGTGTAGCACTCGCCTTGTACCAATTTGCCTACGCTCGCGTTGGCTGAGGCTTGGCCAACATGTATTGCCGGGGTAATAGTAATAAGTGATGGTGTAGATACATACATGGTCAATTTTGGCAATTTCTAAGATGTAGTCTAATATGCCTTTTTTATGTTTAGCATTAGACTGGTCGAGAGCTGTATGATATTGATGATGATTCCTTTATTTAATTTTGGTTATTTTAATATGTTCTTAACATAAAAATTCGCCACCGACATCGAATTACATCTTAACCATCTACAGAGAACCTTTCGAGATTGTTCTTCTAATGACAGAGGTATTGTTCAGACAAGTGGCAAACTAGTCTTAAAACTAACTTTCAATAAGTATTTATCATACTCTATCAGGATTTCCGAAACCTTTAAGTTAATGGAATACTCAAAAAATCCCTTTTATTTTATGGAATCCAAATCAAATATTTGCAAATTAAAGACATTCATTTAAATACGAACAAAAATTTAATTAAAAATATTTTAAAAGTAAAATTACTAATTAAAAGTAAAATTACTAATTATTGCGTCGCAGTAAAGTCACAGAATAAATAATAGTACTATGTGATGTACCACCACCGAGTGTTTTCCGATCGGCTCGATTCACTGGCACTGCGAAGAGATGTTGCATCTCTTTGCATTTTCTTTCGCATATACCATGGACAGTGCTCTGAGGAATTGTTCGGATTAATCCCAGCCACCAAATTTCGTTAACGCACTACGCGGCAAACGTCGCGATACCATCCACATCATCTTGGATGCTTGGCGGTCCACCACTGTACGTTTCAAGAGGAGTTTTCTTCCGCGTACAACCTCTCTGTGGAATAGTTTACCACCGGCGATTTTTCCGGACCGATACGACCTGGGGACCTTCAAGAAAAGAGCGTACTCCTTTCTAAAGGGCCGGCAACGCACCTGCAATTCCCCTGGTGTTGCGGTTGATTATGGGCGGCGGTAGTCACTTAACATCAGGTGAGCCGCATGCTCGTTTGCCCCCTCTTCTATATAAAAAAAAATGTAGTATAAGCCGAATGCTCTTTACCTACATACGCAATGGGTACTTTTCATCACCTTTTTTAGACTATTCCAAAATAATATTTGTAGGTCATCGATCACTAATAAAGAAGTTTTTTATTAGTGATCGATGTTGTAGGTACCTAATTGTGAAATTATTTAAAAGGCTAAAATAAATAACACTTTAGGATACACTGATCTATATTAAGCGTGTAGTGGTGTTAGAATATCCACTACCCCATTCTATTCTATCGCGTGGTTGCCGCAAGAGGAGACAAAGGGAAATAAATCAGGAGATGGACACTAGCGTCTTTCTAATAATGACTAAAAATTAAAAAAACACTGCGGTTGCCAACCCGTTTGCAAAGCGTGGCAAATAGCAATAGGCAATCCAAGGGGGAGGCCTATGTTTTACAGTGGACTTTAATAGGTTGTGACGGTAAACCGTATGATCTATATTTAATTGATAAACCTTTTTCTGTTGCAATAAATAGAAGTATCAGATTTATTTATTTGTATAATATTGATGTACAGAATACAGTTAACAATTGGTGATAAAAATTACTACAGAATTGACCAGGCGTTTAGGTATAAAAGAACACTCTAGACGCCAAATGTAGAGCAATTTCGCTCCGTATTATTCACTTGATAAAGCACTTCCTCACTGCAAGTGGTTTTGGCGAGGACTATGCAACACAATCTTGTCTGAATGAATATGATAAGTTGTTGTTTCTATACCTATACCTTAGGTATAAATTTACGAAAAATTATTATAAAACTACATATATCGTAAAACAGTTGCAAGCATAATAGCGTGTTTAGTGTTGAAAGCATAATACGTGGTAGAGCCATGCTGCAGCTATATTATGGTTGTAGCACGAATAGGTCGGCTCGATCGGGGAAGGACCACGCTCTCACAGAATACCAGCGTAAAATAGCTGCTTAATTTTTTTTTTTTTTTTTTTTTTTTTTTTTTTTTTTTTTTTCCTGTTTTTTTTTTTTTTTTTTTTTTTTTTTTTGTTTTTTTTTTTTTTTTAAACCCCGGGTTTTTTTTTTTTTTAAAAAAGTTTTTTTTTTGTTTGTTCATTTTTTTTTTTTTTTTTTTTTAAAAAGATTTTTTTTTTTTTTTTGGGGATTTTTTTTTTTTTTTTTTCCAAAATTTTAAATTTTTTCTTTAATTTCACATTTTACTGCTGTTTGTTTCGTATGGTGAGTGTAGAGATCCGGAGACCCTTTTTTTACTGGAAACGAGGCATTCAATCTTAGTCCTTAGAAGTGACAATGCATCTGCGTTTTGATTCTTAATCGAAGATTAATGTAGATGTCCATGGGCCACAGCATCCATTCCATTTACCATCAGGTGGACTGTGCTCGTTTGTCACCCTGACTATAAAAAAAAGCGTGTATACATTTTAGTGTAATGCAATAATGAAGTCGATTATCGATCGAGAAAAGGAAAAAATATATAAGCTAAATTATTAACTTAACAAACTAATGTGTTTTTTGTTTAATTATTAGTAATGTGGAAAACATCGATATTTCGTTTAAAATATAAATATACCTCTACAGGTTTCTTGGCATATTTTTTGTCAACACTCTATAGGCACTCTTTGTAATTTGATATTGAAATTGTTATAAAGTGTTCCATGTATTTTTACAAAGCCTACTCATTGTTTAAACCATGAAAGCCAATTAATGACTTACTGTACATGAAACACTTATAATATGCTTAAGTTGGAGAATTTGATGCTATGTTTAGTCTACGATTAAAGTATCGTGATAACTGAGAATTATTTAATGTAAACATTGTAATGTAAACAAAAGGCCTAAAAACGATGCGGTCTAACTACATCCTGTGCCAGCAATATATATTATAATGTACTTATGTTTGTTTGTAATCGCGTTCTCGGAAACTTCTCAATTGATTCTGATGAAATATATAGTGTATGTGTGTGTGTGTGTGTGTGGGGGGGGGGGTAAAGGGACAAAAAATCGATCAAACTAGGTTTCATTTTTGAAAAAAATTGTTTATCTTCGTGTTTTAACGCACAAAGCTACAAGTTTGACGTGACCGTAATATTATTGGTAATTTCGCCACAGGAAGGGAGGGAGCGTAGGACTAACACGCTAGAGTACATGAATTCTGATCCTGCAATATGCTCAGGTTTTTAATTTTTGTTCTTTTGTATTCCAGCCTACACAGCCCCACGGTTGGGAAAAAAGATTTTTAGATTTATAAAATGTTTTGTTTGCGGAGTTACGTACATTTGTATAGTGCTATGCGTACTTTGGTCTAAGCTTTGATTGAAATTATTGATTACAGTATTGTTTTATTGATATACAACCAATTAAAATGTAAAAGTAAAAATATACGTTTTATGTGTGGAACTGGCTGGTTTGCCAGAAACGGTTGATGAAATTTTAAGCTCATATAATGTTTTAATTTACATGTAAATTAAATAGCTGTAATATCCGAGTAGTATCGATAGTAAAGCTCGATTGCCTAGGTAGGTACCCAAAGATTAAATGTGCGAATACTTTCAATAATTTATATCAATAATCACACACGGATCTAATGTCAAAATAAGGAATTTTTCCATCACATTTAGTAATAACTTCCGACTATTATCGGTAGCTATAAAGCCGTCGTACATATTTAAGTGCCATACATGTAACAACAAGCTACAATTTCTCACCTTAACTAACTACCCATATAAGATATAATATATTGTGAGGCTTATGCCTGATATAAGTCCTGAGTTAATATTAGATTATTTAAAGATATTACTGTAGA